TTTTTTTTATTATTATTTCAAGGTTAGACGCAATATAATTGAAGTATTTCTTTAAAGGAATATAAAAAATGTTTTGTTTCTTTTTTTAAATTTTTGATGAGTTCTTAATACAGAAATAATAGTATTGTTCCATAATCCATAATTTCACATACAAATAAATTAAATTATATTTATTTTTATAATTAATAATCACTTGATTTATTATCATTTTAAAAGAAAATGATTTTGAAAATTGCTATACATTTATATTATCTTTTATAATGATAAAATATTAAGAACACTCTTGTCAAATGGCTAGATAATTTTACACTTGATTTCTTCCAAAAATACTTAATAATTTAATATTCTCATGTAATATTTTTATTAGTTATATGTATCAAAAAGTTTGTAATGACTTTTTCTCATTATCTTATTTTTATATTTGAACATTTTTCTGAGCTTGTTCTCTAGTTTAATACCTGTACTCTAAACTTAATATGTGAGACCTGATGTATACAATATTGAAGTATATAGTTTTTTTTTTCATATTTGTGTATCTGGTAAAAAATATTTTCTTTTACTGAACTTGTTTTTAGATATCACCATTTCAATATTATTTCTAGGATTATGGTATACTAATAAAATGTTTGTGCAGTTTATGACCAACAATGTATTATTAACTTACAGTAAGTAAGTTAAATTAATAAAACAATTTTATTATTTACTTATTGTTTGGAAAACACTATTTTCCTGTAAGTTTTTTTGTTAATAAATATCAAACATAATGTAATTTAATTTTATGTATATGATTTAATTTATATGTATTTTTGAATTATGCTTAAATAATAAACATTTTATAATAGTCACTTGGATATTTTTTTCAGTGAGATGTAATTAATTTATCGATACATATCTATAATTTAAATGATTACAATAAGTATAGTTAGAATAAGATATCGGCTTCAACAAGCAATGCACAAAAAAAAATATAGAAAATCATTTCGTTAATATGAGGTTATTCATAATACTAGAGCTTTTAACTTATAAAATCTCATTAATACATGGGGGGCATAAATGACAAGTTTTTTGTAATAAATCAACTATCAATTCCATAAAAAAAAAATAATAATTTGCACCTAATATGGTGAAAATATAAGTTTTTTAGTTTTTGTATTATTCAAATATTGAGTAAAACTAGCTGTAACTGATTTTTACTGTAATTAACTTAAAATAAATTCCTACAGATTCAGTTATAATATTTCACTCAAAGTATACCAAATTATTAATTTTTGTAATAGTTCATTAAATATTATGGTCAGTTATTTAAATGCAGTAAAAATGTATTGTTGCTTATTTTTTATTGGTAATATTTCACATACATATAAGATATGATTAAATTGAATCTATACACTTGAAAATTTAACATTGAATACATTGGGATATAATTAAAATAATGACTTAAGTTATAAATAGTTAAAATAATATGACCTAATTTTTACTTTGAAATTGGGTGAATATTTTTTGTCATAATCCATTTCGGATTAGTGCTTAAATAATTAATATCACAAAAAATGTTTGTATTCGTATTTATAAACAATATTAAAAAATAGTTTTTTTTTATTAAAGAAAAAAAAAATACAAAAGTCAATTTAACTGTTATTTTTTTTAAAAAGAGAAAAATATTTTTTTCTGAATCCTGGTGTACTTCCTTAAAAAAATGTATAGCGGTTTATACCATTGTACATCCCCAAAATACTACTGTGTACAAATATTATCATTAAAATATAGTTATAGTTCAACTAGTTAAAATTCTATAAGTTTTATAAAATCAATTGCTATACTGTAAAATAAAATTTTTAAAAATAGCAGTTAAAGCTATAATTGTACAGATAAATTGAACACAGACAATAATGTAATAGTTGATGATTCAATCATAATACGGAAAAATTATTCTAGAATATTTTATTTCAACTAACATTAATACAGTTGTAGTTGAACATTTTTTTTTAATATGAAAATAAGAAAACACTATTTTAAAATATTTACACAGAATCGATTAAATATATTTAACAAGTATTCTTAGAAACTTAGCAAAATTACATAATAAAAATAAATTAAAGGATACTTTAACTTAATTAAATAATGTAGCCAATTAAAACTTATAATTAATAACTAATACAATAAAATTTCTGTTTGTACCAAGTGGTTAATTATTTCAGAATTTATCTGGAATGGAACACGCCCTGTAAAAGAAGTTATAGCTTTAGCTCTATTTCTTATGTATTCTAATTGGGCTTGTCTCTGTTCTGGATCTTTAGAACTTCTACTAGATTCTTCTTCTTTTTTTATTTCTGTATATTGTGAATACAACATGTTCATTGTTGCAGTCATTACACCAGGTACAATTCGTAAAATAAGCTCACCAAACTTTTTGAATGCGCTCAAACATTCTTCAACTTGATCACTAGATAATGGTATCAAACCAATTGTTTGTAATACATCAAAAGCCAAAGTATTTTTCTTATCTTCATATAATTGGAAAAACACAAATAAACTCTTAAGCATATTGAAAGTAAATATATCTTCATCAGAAGCATTTATTTCTGACCCAGATAAACGTTCACTTAAAACCTCTGCATAATCATAAATTCGGTTTTTCATTCTTGGAGATTTATCTAATGCAGAAAATGTATCTGGTTGAATTATTCTACTCAACATTATATTAATCAGTTCTAAGGTTTTATCATATTGACCAACTAGCTCATATAATCTTGCTGCAATTTCAAAATCACATTTTTGTTCAGTAAGATAAGCTGCACACTTAATAATTTCTAATTTCACATGATCTGCCACAACAAATGAATCTAGAATTCCATTCATTTTTTTGCCATCAGGTTTTAAATATCCAAATACTTTTTCATACTCTTCAGTTTCAACAACCAATGCAGCTACTTGTGAAACAAATAAGGTTCTATCATTTGATTCAGCATGTCTTAAACAATAATAATAATTGATAGCCATTTTTAAGTCATGGTTTTCAAACTTTGTACAATATATTTTTATCATTCTAGATAAATTTAATACAGCCATTTGTTTATTGTCTTTTGATAAAATGGGCTGATCAAAATCTTTAGGTAAATACAGTATATTTATTTCATTCAAAGCTATTGCAATGTGTATAGCATGACATCGCAATTTTGTATGGCGGAATATAAACTCAATAGCTGATTCAAATTGGCCTGTTAAAAATAATAACTGGAAATAAGACATTGGTTGAGCTTCACTAAATTGTTCTCCATATTCTTTGTAGATTGTGGTTTGAAGGATTGGATATGTAAGTTTACCTACTTCATTTCTTACTTGACATAATTTTAACCACAAATAATCATCAGCAGTTTTGATTACATCAGAATGTTTACTTGTCACATCAACTGCCAAAACTAATGAGTAAATAACTTTTTTAAATGGATCACTAGACTCCCATACAACAGTTGACATAATGTTTTGATCATTCAATGTAGTATATTGATGATTGGATTTAATACTTTTAAATACATTAAGTAGTTCTGAATGAGTACCATCATTTTCTAAAACTTTAACAACAGATTCTAAGTCACCACAACGTATTAAGTAATATAAAAATGGCCAAAATGGAAGTCCATCATAAAATAATTGATCTGGATTGTTATACTGATTAATATAAACACTTACGAAACTTCTTACAAGAGGAAAAGTTCCAGGGATTCCTCCAACTTTAGCTTTAGATAAATGACTTTTAACATAACTTTTCATAAAAATGATATACCTTTGTTCTAAATATGATCTAGCATTACTAATCAATAATTTTTGATTATTTGTAGAATACCTAGAATTAGTAGATCCGTATTCCGGAATAATTTGACTCATACATTTTACTATTTTCCACATTTCATTTACACGATCATCATGGGCATTTTCAGCTGCTTTAGAGAATGATTGTAAAATATCTTTTTGAACACCATGATTTTCTACAAGCTGATTATATTCACATAAGTGTTGTGCATATGTTAATTCAGTCTGATCCATATGTGCATTCAATCCAAAATTAGTAGTATTAAATTTGGAAAGAGCAGGCATAGTTTTAGAAGTTGGACTAGATGAATTAGGCATGTATCCAGGAAATGAATTGACTATATTAATTTTTTTATTTCTCCAGTTTTTAGTCATTGTATCTGTTTGTCTTCTTTCTATGACATCTCCATTACTCTTTTTAACAGACTCAATTAAACCTAAAATAGCATTTTGGACTTCATTTTTTACAAAGCTATCAACATCCATATCAGGTTTAGGATCTAGTGTATTAAGAGTAGCTACAGAACTAAGCTTTTCGAGTTGTTTAGAAACTTGTGGTGCATCAACACCACGGCTACATAAAAATATATTACCCTGTGCTTCAACTCCTGGTACACCGACTTTAGTCCATAAGTTTTCTGCAGCATCTAAAAGTTGACGAATATTCCTTGTAACACTCGGCATACCTGTGTCAGTTGTAGCATTTGCTTGAAGTTTTTCAGCTGTCATCATGATCGAATTCCAATCGGTTTCAGTCATTTTAATAAATTTTATTTTTAATTACAAGAACATTAAAAAAAGATAAACAAATGTTCTTTATCTTATAAAATATAAAAATAATAAACGGTTTTTACTTAATTTTAAGGTTAGAAAATATAGAGTATGATAATGGAATTTTGATATCAATACATTTATTACAAAATTGATTATGAACTATAAAAGATAATTTATATTTTTCTTTTTTCAAATAAAATGTCTAACTTAAAAAATTATACTTATATATCGTTTGAATAAAGTAAATTTTAAAAATTGGAATTACTACAATTTATTACGTACTACAATTTTTGATAAAGATATTCATATTACGTATTGTAATGATAACAATAACAGATGAAGACAATAATAATTATTATTGTTGACATCAATTATAATTGATAATTAATTATAACTGATTTCAACATTTGGTAATTATTACCTAACTTTGAATTAAACTGAAATCGTAATGTATTGTAACATGTAATAATTTGTTTATTTTTTTTTAAAGTTTGATGACCAATTCAAAATTACAAAATATTATTGAACAAAAAAAGAAGTCGATAAAAAATGTTATCTATTAATATAATATGTTTTTTATGTCAAAATCAAATTTTTGCAAACTTTGTAATCCAAAAAACATATTTTAGTTGGCAACCATAATTCAAGGAGAGGTACGGTCCTTTTCCCTCCCTTTGGACCCATCAGGGTACATTTGAATTAGTGCAACATAGAGTTTTACAAATAATTTTATAAATATTTATCGGTAAAATACAATTACAAATTTATTTTTCCTGTTGTGTAGTAAAATACTGTATAAATACTTAATAGAACAAAGTTGTTTGGTATGATAAATCGTAATATACTACTATATCCTAAATTAATAAAAAAAAAGTTTTTAAGAAAAATTATTGATAATTTTATTTTCTGTAATAAAAACATTTTTGTTATCAACAAAGAGTGAATATATTACTTAAAAATAAATAAATACACTCATTGATATATTTAAGAAAGAAGTGGGGATGGTTAACAATTACTAAATAGACAAATATAATACAAAGAAAATACAAGTAATTTGTTTTAAATGGTAGGTTATTTTAAGTTCTTTATATTTAAAATATATTATGTTAAAAATTTTCTTAAAAATTAGTAACTATTACACTAAATACAGAATACCAATTAAATTAATAAGGTGTAATTATAATTGATAATAACATGGAAGTGAAGACTCTATAGTGTTTATGATAAATTGAAAGATTATATTGTCAGTATTTTTAATAAAACATTTTCAGTGTTTATAGTTGCATTATCTTTAATTTATAAAATTTAAAGCATACATTATTTATTTTTTATAAATTAGATTCATAAAAATGGTAACATTAAAATTAATATAATACACGTGCAACATGTTTCAAATCTTCTATATCCACTAACATCGAGTCTTTGGCCATATGCAATTCATCTCTTTCTAACAATAAGTTCACAAGACTTTCATTTAAATCTGAAAAATTAAAAGAAGTACATAATAATATCTATAGGTTTAGTGAAAATGAATTTAGCTGGTAGTATTGTAGAGCGATTTGTTTAATTTAAAAAATAATAATCATATATGAAATTTTGGAGAGGCAAATTTTGAAATCGGAGTTGTTTAACCCCTCAATTTAAGCCTATGTATATCATAACTTAACTAAAATTTTTATCTCCTATAAGAAGTCATTTTCTGGGTCCTTTGATCAATTTAATTGAGGACTTTATTTCCAAAACTGATTTTATGCTAGAAAATTAAAATTTATATCAAGATTCTATTGACCAAATCCGATAGAAGATAATAAATTTTGAAAATAAAACTACATAATAGTCAGTTTTTAGAAGGAAAATAATTATTATTAAATTGTTATTAAATTTATTTCAAGACAAAAGTTATACATAATCACAAAATATAAATATAAATTATATAAGACTTAATTAGTTTTTCAAAAAATCCTCAATTATTTAAGTAAGAAATCAATATCATCACAGTATTTTCCTAAAATTTAAATACAATTTAAGGGGTTTGGTTGGGTTTGATATTTTTATTTCTAATTTTAATTATTTTATCGTACTGAAAGACATAAAATTAACATATTACTCTACTATTTGATTTTATCGTTTTTTGAAATTATAGGTAAAAATCCTAATTTAATTAAAAAAGCATCATTCTATCCAAATTTGACTATAAATTACAATGTCAAATATTAGGATATAACAATATAATTTTATGCCGTTTAGGTTTAAAATAGGGGGAAATTAAATTGTTTGGAAAATACGAGTGACTTCTCAATTTTATATCGAGGGAATTGCTATGGTGCTATTTATTTTTAATTCAAATAACTATTAGTTAAAGGGATAACGCTAGTACCCTCCTTTCCTAATAAAATTTATTAAAGCCTTACATTCAATGAACGAATGTAAATCATTAACAATAACTTGAAGTTGTGCTAAATTCAACCGCATTAAAAAATGACGACTAACGCGTTTTCTGTCATTATCTAACTTCGCTCCAACCTAAAACATAATAATTATAATTTTTAGAAATTATTAGCAATTTTTAAAAGTCTTCCAGCAGTATAAAAAATATTTATTTTAGAGGTTATTAAGTAAATACTTAAAAATAAAATACCTTAGATAGACTATCTTTAATTACTGCTGAAATAACACAATTACGGTGATCAGATATCATGTGAGCTCTTGCTCTAGTCTTGGCTTGGATGAGACCTTGTTTAAGATCAGTCTAAAAAATAATTGACTGGATCACGTATTTAAAAATCAATTTTATATAAAATTATTGAAAATGGGATTTCATTACATACAGTAGAATTTATCTGCGTATGTCTAACGATATTATTTTCATTTACTGGTAACTCTAAGTCTGAAGATGGATCATTCATAAAACATAATTGAAGGCTTGATCCTATAAACAATATAATGATATACATATTTATTTATAACTATATATGTTTTATAATTTGAAATTCAAGGTTCAAAATACAAGATTTCAATAATTAATAAAAAGATCTTTTTATTTACTAATTACTGATATCTTAAAAAGTGTCCAAATTAATGAATAATGTTCTGTATGATATTAAGTCACTTAACTTCATTGAATATTAGTTACTACTATTAAAATTCGTAAAATCTATTTACCATTTTGTAAACGTGATTCTAGACTTGATTTTTTTGTTGATTTTCGATTATTATACGTTTGGTAACTACCAACTAAACGATTGCGAATCTCTTCGCGATCATTTTTCTTCTAAAACAATAATTCAACTTTATTTATGTTTAATATCTGATATTTTTCCATAGATTCAAAATTAATTTAATATTAATGTTTAAGTTCTTATTATTACGAATCTAAGTTTCGTCCATTTATCTAATTAATTATAAAATAATTTATTTTGTTCGATAAAAATTATATAAGGTTGTTCATAGATATATAATAATTTTGATTAAAAAAAAAAAAAAAGAATATGGTTGAATGTAAATATTATTAATCAGGTGAGAAAATTATGGATCATGATAATTTACGAGCAATCTAAAACGTAAATTATTAAGTTAAAAGCAAATACTTTTGTATCAAATTTATTTGTACCTCAAGTAAAATCAAGTTTATTCTAAAATTTTACTGTATTCAAAATGATGTTTTGTTTTACAATGGATTGATATTATATTTTATATTATATATATTGTATTTACACTATATTGATTTGTATGGATCATTTTTACTTGTCGTGGATATCTAATATAATAGTAATAAGCTTGTGTTCTTTAGATGAGTTTATATTATAGTAGAATTTATTGCTTGTTTTAACTTTCTCTACTTTAAATAAATTATTTACAAAAAAAAAAAACAGCTTTTTAAACAAAAAAAAATGCGAAGGGTTTGAAAAAAATGTATAATCTAAAATACTTCAATAAAATTGTCGCCTAGTTCAAATTATGTCCATACCAAATTATATGAATGTGTCTTTAACAAATGTTCATCATTGCTATTAACTCCAAACTCATTGACTATTTTCATATCCTCAAATCTATGAATAATATCGTTATCTTCATAAGTAGATGGTTTTTGGTAAATAAAACAACCTTTATCTAACTGAAAACATTTGTTATTGTTTGAATAGTTTCTTACATCGCGATTAAGCAGTACTCGTTTGTATGTATCTGAATTTTTATAATCGTTTAAAAGTGATTCTTTTAATGCTATACCATTAAAATATAAATTTTCTTTAACATAACGACTATTTGTATAACTCGACTTTCCGTATGATCTTGAACGTAGTTTCTCTTTAAAAGTAGCAACTAAAGAAGAATTATCTGACATTGCAATAGAAGTTATTTTTTTAGTAAAAAGCTAATACAAATAAATTATTGGCATTTATAACGTTATATTAATTTGCTGGAAAAAAAAAAATAGAATACACTGGATTTCTAAAAAAATTGTTGATGTCCACTTCTTTATCACCTAGATTTTACTTCTACATAGTTTGATAAGTTATCGAACAACACATCTGTGACTTCTGAAGAGATTTTCCAGTTGCTAAAATTTTCTTACTCAATTAAAAAATACAATTTTATTTAATAAAATGGAATAACAAATAAATAATATTATAGTAAGTTATAAATATTATACATTTATAAGTTATTTTTAAAGAAACTTGTTTAAAAATTTGTTTAATACGACAATTATTGATTTATAACCCTACTCAGTAAATATACGTATTTTCCTTGGAAGGGTAATAAAAAGGGAACGGTGGTACATTACACTATTAAGGGTGGAACACTGATAACATATCGTAGTGAGGTAAAGTGCGCATGACGATTGTAATATTTATCCATAAGTAGCTGATGATTTTTATTTACATTTTTATAAGTAATTAATTTTAAAATATTGTAAAGAGATTAACTTAAATTTCATTGTTTTAGTAAAAANAATATTTATCCATAAGTAGCTGATGATTTTTATTTACATTTTTATAAGTAATTAATTTTAAAATATTGTAAAGAGATAAACTTAAATTTCATTGTTTTAGTAAAAACGCTCAACAAAGTCAAATATTACGACACAAAACTTTAATTGAAATAATTATTTTAGATGGCAAAGTAATGATATATCTTCACGATTTTTTTTTAAATTTATTAAATATTATCTAAAAGAAATATATAATATAATTTTCGAGCTAGAAAAAATGTTGTATTTTGATAGACCAATAAGTTTTAATTAACTCCAAAAGTTATTTAAATTGATCTCACATTCATTTTATTGAATAATAATATCATTTTATTAATAAAAATATTGAAAAAATAAATCAAAAATCTTAAAAATCTAATAGTTTCAAAGTGACAACTCTGCTTTTATTGATAGTAGGACTACCCTTTTAAATAAAAAAAAATGATATTATTAAGAAAAGATTTCTACATAATTAATTTTGTTGATCAAACAGTTTAATATTATTTTTTTAACGATAATCTCAATTTTTCGTTTGTAAAAATTTTTAATGTTTGTATGAATACTTTATTGAATAATAACTATTTTTTACAGTATCTAAATACTGTACAGATAATTGTATTTTTATGGAAGTAATTGTTTTACAATTAATAAAAATATTTCTCTCATATGACCATATTTTGTATGACTTATAATTTGCTTTAAAATTTTTAGTTAAAATAAAATGTTTGCTGTAACACTTACTTGGTTATTAGGAACACCGTGACAATCGAGGCTTTCGTGTGAATCATACGTTAATGTATATAAATCCATTACGAATCTTGAATCTTTTTTGTAATGCCTTTGGTCGTATCTGAAATCCGAAGGATTTGGAGACCACGAATTCATTAGCATACTCATTGCAGCCATTTTTATGCCGCGTAAATATATTACTCGATTTTGAATCAGTTTTATTATTGTTTTATTGTAGAGAATTTCTTTAATATGTTATATTGCAGCTGTTTTCATCGGACTGAGAATTTCGTACAAATTACAATGTTACCGTCTAATACCTATGGAGTGAAAGTAGCTATAACAAAAACTCCAGAACTAATCGAATGCCCTTCTTAAATTTATAATAGACAGTAAAACCATTAATAGCAATATAACAAAGAGTAACAATAACAATAACAATAACACAAATATTATGTTCAATAATTATGAATAAGTATCAAGGAAACTCAAGAATTGTCTTCTGGATCACAAAATATTTTTTAATTTTGAGTTCATTCAAATTGAATGGTACATTAATTAGTAAAGTCGATTTCATTTATTATTAATTATCTGATTTTTGCTATATAAAACATTAATCTAATTATACAATACTTGAAGTAAAAAAATTAACGAAAGAGGTATATTTCATATACCCATTAATTTATTTATTTTCTTATACCTCAGAACTGTCTAAAATGACAAACCTAATTAAACATTTATTTTTATTAAATCGAACTATACGCTAAATTTCCTTTAACTTTTTCGTTTAAAGTATAAAGAGAGTATACTTGCGACGTTTTTGTAGTATTTTTTCTGGTATACATTAATTAATTTTCAAAATCAAAACTGGACATATCCCTAAAAACAATATTAGTTCTACATATGAATAAATAATAAAGGTAATAAAATAAAAATTGTGTATATATATATATATTTTTTTAATTTTGCATAAAATAAATTTGTTGCTATTATGTAATTATTATAAGTAATTTTAATACTTTAAATTTGTAATAATTTTGTTTAAATAAATTAAAATTTTATTAATTGTATAAAATGAATAATAAATATAAAAAGTAATTTGTAATTCAAGTGTAGCCAGAAAAAATATTTTTTAGTTTGTTTTTTTTTTGTCATTTAATGAAATTTTCTTTCGGGCTCCCATATTTATAAATTCGTTCCTGGTTGAAATAATCTAAGTGATAAATAGATAAACACATCATTTTTTAAAATTAAAATTAATTAAAATCTCTAATTTTCGATATTTTTTCAATTTTTTTTACTTAAAATTGCCATAACTTTTTTAAAAATGATCGAATCAATTTTTTTTTTTTATAGATACCTTAGATATTTACCTATCATTTTATATATTTTTGTGAACATTTGACCCTTTAACAGCCCACAGAAAGGGTTTCAAAATGGTAACTTTTTTACAAAAAATTAACTTTTTCAACTTAACTTTTGAAAATGTTCCGGAAAGACTGACACTTTTATATATACCTTAAATTAAAGAATCACATGTTCTCCATAAAAAAAATTAAAATCATTCATTTCTAATGTTTTCAAAGTATTTATTGACGAATTAAGTTTGATATGATGGGTTTCAACTACAAAATTTAATCATTTTACTTTGTAATTTAATAAATTTTTTACTGTATTTGTGTCTACTACTACTAGACTATAATATTACAAATTTTTTTGTAACATGTTGCTATATAATCATTTCTAAAAAATTGATTGTTTTTTCTCCTGAATTAACAATGGATTTTTACAAATATAATCAAATTTTATAATATACTCAATTGAGTAAATCTTTTTAACAGTTTTGTTTTGATTGGTTCATTTAGTTAAAGTAAATCATTAATATTAATGAAGTTCTGAATATTTCAATTGCAGAATCTTTTCAAACACCAAAAGTTAATAGGAAATGATAACTATTATTTCTATTTAAGCTATATATTACGATAAAAATGCAAAAAAACATTGAGCTTTTCAGATAAATTTACAATAAATAGTAATTATAAAATTTCTTGACTGCATATCAATCTTAAAAATAGCATTGTTTTAATTCTCATAAAATTTTCTATTCAATGATGTCAATTTCAAACTTGTAATTGAGCTAAAAATTATTTTATAATTTCTCCGTATAAATTACAATATTAAATTATTGAATATCAATTTCATACTTAATTTAAAAACTATAATTAGTATTTATTCATATATTATATTCTAAAATCAAAGAACTACTAATCAGGATATAATTAAAGAAATAAGAGTTGATGTTGCTTTTGGAATAATCTACCAATTTATCTAAATGAAACACTATCTACAGATATGCATCGAAGCGTTTCTTATGATAGTGATTTTAATCACTGTCAGATATCATCTATACTTGTCCCATGTATGCCTTGTCTACACTGTGCCTCGACCCCACTGTACTTCGGTTTTTTTTTCTTACTTTTGCAAGCCTAAGACTTCTTTTTCGTCTTCCTTTGTTCCTAGCCTATCATAACTCTTAAACTTCGCCTTACTTACTGCACACTTGGCTTCTTTGCACAAGCGTTTTATACTGCATCCAATTGTCTCCTTTTGCTCTTCTGCCATACTTTTAATTGCTTTTTCTTACTTTCTATGATTTTTGATTTCTCCACCCTCATTGCTCCCTCTAAAATCATACCCTCTGTGTACTCTTTTTTTTTTTGTGTCTGTGAACGCTCAATCTTAGCTCTCACTGGACCGATTTTGATGAACAATATGTCAAAAGATCACAAATCGTATCTAGTCGAAGACATTACTCTCAAAAATTGAAAAAAATTCCCTCGTTCCCCGTAAACGGGGGAAATCCCCCAAAAAATTACAAATTTAAAAATCGCTAATTTTCGATATTTTTTTTTTTAATTAATATACATGTACTATGTATAATACACGGAGGATTACAAATACAGGTAACTAATGGTTTTTTTATGACGTCGCTATCACAGTTACGGAGTGTTTATTGTCAAATATGACTATCAGTAGATATGCTTTCTATAATGCCAGTTGGTATATATATAAACTCGCAACTATGCAGGGCGTACACAAAAATTAAATTTGTTTTTTTTTTTAATTTAAAGAAAATTAGATGTGACACTGCCCATATTGTTTGTTCACAAAAATTCCTGTTTTCGTCTACTTTATTGTGGAAATATTTATAGTATGTGTAGTGTAAAATATAAAAAAAAAAAAAAAACAAAAAAAAAAAATTTTAAAAGTTCCTTTGTAAATATAATTATAATTTATTAATACACAATTAAAACATCATTCGATTAAACAGACAAAACAACCGATCACCCAACGCTTCGACCCAGCACGGTGGAGGGTCAAACACACACTGACTTAATTATCGATAGGCCTTATCGCTATCTTCACAATTACACAGAATACTACAAATGATGTCATCTTTTTTATTGTTATTAGTTATTGTTTATCGTCCAAAATTGTCGCTTAGCTTACAAATTTTTGGTGGTTTCAACCCCCTTCCTTGCGCATGCCAGTGCAACTATGTGCCTTACTACCATTGATAATAAATGCAACGTATCTGCGTTTTTTACATCAAAAAAAATTAATTAGCTAGTAATACTTCACACGACAACTATCTTTCCTAAGCAGATGTGGCCATTCTATTAAAATTTCGTAAGTAAAAATAAAATACTTAAATTCCTAAATATTGAACAAATAATTTCTGTTTATTTTAAATCTTGTTTTTGAAATAGTAAGTTTGCAATGTCATCGGCGTATTACGTGCATTTTACATTAAACATAGTAATATGTTTTGGTTTCAACAATAATAGTTGAAATATTTCAGTGGTACGAAAGAAATGTGTTTATACAATGTTATACAAAATTGTCTATTTACAGATATATAAAAAGATGGTTGGGTAAATCATTAAAAATGGAATGAGAAAAATTAATTTTGACCTTTGGAACTTAAGCACCTTGAAGTTCAAAAACTATTTTTGCCCATGCATCGCAATGTAACTGAACGTCGTAACGGCTTTTGTATAATCGTCTAACAGCAACTGCGTGTTAGATACCAAACTATTCAAATAACATGCCATCACGGCTACAACCAGCCGCTGAAAACCTTTTCAAGATATCGGACATGTTTTCATTCAAAATAACACTGATACTGATTTAAAATATTTATTATTTAACAAATTGTATAATACTTCAGGAATGCCTGGTACCAAATTTTTAATGAAGTAATACGGAATCGTAATTTGGATTTTTACAAAAGTTTTACTTGAAAATTTATATTGGTGTATAATGGCGATTACACCCCCCATGAAAAAAATAATTACATGTTTGATATGCAATTTGAGGGGGATAGTACTTTTTTTATTCATAACCCTCTTCTCATGTAAAACATTTCGAGTAAGCTTTTGGTGAAATATATTTTTGAATGCCAAATTTTTATTTTCTGTTTGTTTTATTGACAGCCATTAGCAATGCTTATTTTGTTTTTAGGATATACATCGTGGCACGTTCTAAGCACCCGGCTGATTGGCCATCCGCTTTTCGGTCGTAATAATCAACGGACCGCTGTGCTATAGTACAGTAGCACAATATGGTAACTAGTCCCTGCCTAGAGTATTAAATGTTCAGGAGGCCTTCAAATATAATTTTTTTTCTCGCTACGCTCAGAATTATTGACATTATTATTGTTAAAATAGTTATACAAATAATTTAAAGTGATAAATCAAAATATTTATTCTAAGTTATTTTATACTAATATATTTATACATAACAGTTGTTTATTACCTTAAATAATTATTAAAATTATTTCATACTCTTATAACAGAAATACCATTACAAATTATTTTATTAAATTATTACACTAATAATAAAAAATATTATTTAATTAATTGTTAATTCAAACCTTAAAATTCTTATGTATAGCATTTTTTTTTTTTTTTTGAAAGGGGGCACCAATGATATTTGATAGGACTCCTCAGCACTGATTTTTGTGGCACATCTCAATGCTAAAAAATCTATGTTATCAATGTTTTCTTATATAATACTTACCATAAATTTTATTTCATGTAGAAATATTATTTTTAATTTATTAATAATATAATAGCTTTTTATAATATTTGAATCAATTTAAAATCATTTAGAAATAAATAATTTTAAAAGTCTTGATAATGAAATTTTCTAGAATATTAGAGAAGTCTTCATTTTTGGTTGATCTACAATAACTATAGATATATAATTAGTAGTTATGTGACATAGATTAACTTAACTTGACATATAATTAATTGTGTGTAGAGACATCAGAAAGGGAACAAGATATGCCGTTGTGCTTTTTGTCGCAGAATTTTGTTAGTAATTATATATAGAATTTTAAAAACCAAAGATATCATTTGTAGGATATAAGTCGGCTTGTACAGTCCACGGTTAAGGGAAGTAAAATATTGTCTTTAATATTGGGAACAAATGCATTTTACCACCCCATCGAGTTTTTTCATTTTTTTTTTTTTTTAAACGTGTATTTTTCAATGCTTTTTTCAAAAGTGTTTGAAAAAATTGTCGGAAAAAATTGGTTCAAAAGTTATAGCTTTTTAAAGTTGAAACGTCAAAAACTAAAAATAGCTCAAAAATTGTTTTTTTTTGTTAATTTTTGGGATTTTTTCTCATGATACTATTGTGAAACTATAATGACGTAATTATTACATAATATCCTCATTCTAAAAATCCTAAAACCAAAATTATCTTTAAAAATAAGGATTTTCCAAATTTTTTTTTCAAAACTACGCACATCAAATTTACGCAATACGAAATAAAAATAACAAGAAACTCAATTAATTCAATTTGAGCAAAAAAAAAAAAAAAACCCCGATGTGGTGTTTTACATAGAACTGTTAATTCAATAAAATAAAAGTTTTTACTGTTTATTATGTACACCAATTAACACTTGTTGTAAACAAAAAAAAAATACTATTACATTAGATATTGTTGATATTAGTTAAGTTGTTGAGGTATCAAAATATACTTACTAATATCTTAATGTTATAATGTTGAGTTATACAAACCCATTTAAATATAAGTTGTGGTCACCTACGCCTGCCGGCTCCGGTGACCGATTCGAGCCCCTTCGGGACTCTCATGGGATGGGGGCTCACGCCCCCAAACCCCCAGAGGATAGAAGTCAAGCCCAAACCCAACCTATTTAAACCCATTCGACTGAAATTCTCAGTGACCCAACAAGTATAAAACCTTGATGTTAAAATGGTGATATAATATTGAAAAAATAGATCAAAAAAAATTCAAAAAAAAATTAAATTTATTTACTTCAACACTACCTTAACACGTTTAATGTACTCATAAATACTCTTAAATTTACTATTCCTCGGTAACTACATCACCGAGAATACTTTTTATAGTTAATTAATGAAAATTATCAAAAAAAACAGCAGTATATAACAAAATTTGTATATGATTATTGAAATCTTTGAAAGCTCATAACTTTTAAACTAGACTTCGCCGACAAAAATTTTTTATATATTCTTAGTCTGTATGAAAAACTAAATTGATTTTAAAAAAAAAATTTGAAAAATCTCGATGGGGTGGTAAAATGCATTTAAGCCTAATATTGTAACAGTGCCTATTTCAATTTTTTAGATTTTTAGGATGATCAAAAATAAATTTGAATTATTTATGTTTTAATACAAGATATATTATCTTAAAATATTATTTCAAAACAATTCAAGTGAGTTTTTTACGAAACTAATCATAGTAAAATAACTATCTAAGAAAAAAACATTATGACACCTGTTAAACCTTTACTTTAAGACGCAAAAAACCCAGCACGGGGCGGTGGCGGCACTGTAATATTATATTATTACATATAATATTAACATATATGATGTTATCATTTGTACATGTATGTCACATATCATGATTATACAAGATCACCAAAACAGGGTTCTCTTATTTAAAATACAAAATGACCCTTTAATTATACGATAAAATCTCCCTCTTGTAGAAATTATTAAGTAACGCCTACACGCAGGGACCCCATTTTAATTAACCAATTAGAATACAAAGCCTCAGCTTCCAGGATCACAGTAGAAATCGCTGGGCTACCCCCTTCAGAGTATAAAAAGCCATTTTTCCCCATCTAAACCAGTTCTTTGGACGATTTTAAAATACACAAAATCTACGACGTTTTACTCAAGATTTCACTCTCCGGGACTAAGTCGATTTTTTAATTAATTTGGACTTAGAATATTTTTCTTTAAAACTAAATGACACTTAGAAATTTTAAAGTGAATATTGTTTTGGTGAATCTTTTAATTTAATTTAATTTGTTCAATCATTAATAATATTTTATTTTTCTTGTTGTAGAAATAAACATCAAATAATATTTTAAACATTACATCTTTTTAAAATTATTTTATTTTAATAATAAATCCAACCTAACTTTAGATTTTTATTTAATAATAAAAATTTATTGTGAGCTTTTCTTATTGGGTAGCTAGTCTCATTGCTAATGTCTTTGTTTTAACAAACATCGCGCCAGCAAACAGAGTAAAGGTTGCAACTAGATATTATTCTAGAATTAGTAGGTATATTAGGTTAGAATATATTTGTAAGCCTATGCGTATTGGGTAGCTAGTCTCGTTGCTAATGTCTTTGTTTTAATAAACATCGCGCCGGCAGACAACGCAGAGAAACTTACGAATATATTTGCAGTGTTTAATTTTTGTCTTGGTGATTATTGTGCCGCATCCTTTCAAGGTGCTTTATTTTAGCATCGGAACACATTGGGCCACTACCATAGGCGTCATTTCAATATTTTATCTGGGGTGGCAAATTTAATTATCCTAAATGACCTTTTTTTTTTTACAAAAATAACATTTGTTAAACTAACTCCCATATATGGAAGGCCATAATTACCTTAAAACAATATTTTTTAATCACTTACCTTACTAGCTAAACCTTATTTAACCCATTGAATTATAAAAGAGAGAAATTAAGTAAATATAAAAAAACTTTTAATAATAATCAATGTTTATATTCATTTTCATACAAAATGAAGTCTTCTATTTCGGTTTAAATCAAAATCATCAATAACTTTAGAAATGTTTACTTTTACATTCCTTTCGATGGCTAAAAGAGCCAAAGATGATAATCTATCCTGTCCAACTGTACTTCTGGTGTATGTTTTCAATCGACGCAAGCATGAAAAAGACCTTTCACATGAAGCCGAGTTCATTGGAATCGTGAAAAACAAACGAAAAAGTTCAAAAAGCATAGGAAACACATTTTTCAAAGATTTATGAACAAAAACGTCAGCTCTTTCTTGAATTGATATGTTTCTTGATTCTTCCATTTTAAGGAAACATCTAAGTTCAGATAGAAGAAGTTCGTTGTCTAAATTATAATATTTAGACACATATTGCACAAAGTCTGTGTCTACATCGGTTCCACCTAGAACTCCACTTAAGTGGTTAAGTACATCTAGGATGTTTTCTTGAAGTCTAGCCTCTATCTCCTCGATTAGGATATCAATAACTGGCCAAAGGATTGATACTTTGTAGTACTGCTCTACAGATTCAAATGGGGTTTTACTTCCTCCACCAATTTTTAGTGGAATTCGGCTATTTCTTGGCAGTTGGGCGGTTTTAAACCCGCACTTGTCAGTGATGTCTGTGCAGTGATCAAACAACTTTGTGAAAAATTCATGTGTTCTGAAGGATTTTAATACATCAAGAGTGCTGTTTTTTACAGATTTCACAATTTCATAAGTCACACTACTTGACTGAAGTGTTTTTGACAGTACATCACATTGGGATAGAACTCTTTTGAGCAATAAAAGATCAAATACAAAGTTAAAGTCCTCAATATTTTTCAATAACGCATTGGCTTGTCCACCACTATCATTGTCTTTTTCGTAAATCTCCCGTAAAGTTGCAAGAGTGGCATCAAAATTATCTAGTAGAGAGCGTACGGCTTCGACACGACAAGCCCATCGAGTGTCACTTAAAGATTTNTGACAATAGTGAATAATACGATAAAGAACTAAAATACCGTACTTATACATAACTAATTAAACCTGTAAAATTAATTTTATAAACTTACCATGTCTTTGATCACAAAAATAAAAAACTGGCATAAAGCTACTCTAGCAACTAACTCTGCTCAATAGCAAAAATAGTGGCTATACCATTTAAGATGGAAATAACCGATAATCTTTCTAGGAAACTAGTATAGCTTGTTAATGTTGTCGCGACGTTGATAAGGGTACTATTTCTGTAAACATTTTTTGTATTTATGTACATAATATATTTATATACAATAACAATATTACGACACAGTCGCGGTGTCATCACTCAGGTGTTTCCCCGCATCCGTGCCAGCTAACCATCGCCANTTTCCCCGCAGCCGTGCCAGCTAACCATCGCCCTACTACATACGCGAACACAGGACTGATACGCATACGCATTATTATCATTTTTATTATTGACAAGAATCTTTCATGTATAGAATATTTTTTAATTAGATAATTGGAAATAATTAAGTTTTACTTCAAAATTCTGGGGTGGCAAAATACTGGGTCCAGAAATTCAGGGGTGGCAACTGCCCCCCCTTGCCACCCCCAAATGACGCCTATGGCCACTACAATTCCGCCTTGATAAATTTTTTACATAGATATAGATATTTCTGAATCTTGTTTTGGCCAGGCCAGAGGAAAATTTAAGAAATATTGGTGTGGATCTCTCAATAAAATATACTCTCTAAAAAATACTTATTCAACAGACGTAAAAAAAATCAATAAGTAAAAAAATTTAAATTGTATTTATAATAAAATACAGAGTGTTTAGAATCATTCACAAGTAAGACCAGTTGTAGACTTTGTGTAATTAAATCATATTATTTAAAGTCTTGAATCGTTTTTTGTAAGTAATTATATAGACTATATGACGTATAGTGTAAATCGTATACCATAGTACGTTTAACGCGGAAATCAACACTGGATTACTTGAAATATTATTGTATTACATAGGACGTAAGGTAAGGCCAATTTAATCTATGCTTTCTCTACCCCCCTATCTAATTTTTTTTATTTTTTCTTTTTATTTTTGGTTTATTACAGCATAGTGGTGACGTGCATTAGTTGAATTAAGTATAATGATATCTGACAGTGATTAAACTCACTATCAAAAAAAAAAACGCTTCGATGCAAATCTTTAGATTATTTCAAAAGCTACATGATCTGCTATTTCCATATCTCGATGAAGATAAAGTATGTCGAATGAAAAAGGAATATAAATATTATTTCTCATAAAAAATTGTGTTGATCCATACACCTTTCATTAAGTTATAGCATTATAAAGTTAAAAATGTAAAAAATAAAATAGAGATTTTTCACACAAAAATAACATTTGGTAGCCATTTTCACCGTAAAGACAAATAAAGTCCGAAATTTTTTTTTCCATAATAAAGTATATTACATTAGCTTTAATTTAAGATATATATAAAAGTGTCAGACTTTCCGGATCAATTTCAAAAGTTAAGTTGAAAAACTTTCTATATGCATTTTTCAGATTTGAACCCCCGTTTATAGGGAAATGGTCCGATTTAAAAAAAAAATATGTCGAATGAAAGATGTATATAAATACTACTTCTCATGAAAAAATTGTATTGATTCATACATTTTTCAAATAATTATAGCATAATAAAGTTAAAAATGTAAAATATAAATTCGATAATTTTCAAAAATTAGTGATTTTTAAATTTGTAATTTTTTTGGAGATTCCCCCCATTTAGGGGAACGAGCGAAAGTTTTTCGATTTTTGATAGTAATGTCTTCGGCTAGATACGATTTGTGATCTCTTGACGTATCGTTAAAAGAATTCAGTTCGGCGTGAGCTGAGAAAAATTGATAACAGACACAAAAAAAAAAACACGTCATAGTAAAACCAATACCTTCCAGCTTTGCATCGAAGCTAAAAAATTATACAGTATACGTGTATGTATAACACTAGTCATAATAAACGTATGCATGCGCAGCAGTTACAAACCGTTCCGTGACGCGAACGACAATTTTTTCCTCGTGCAAAACATTCAACCATATAAGTAGTCACTTCAAAAATATTAACCATTAATAAATATAGTTTAAAAAAACACGCTGTGATAAAAGCGTGGGTGCTTTGTGTCATATTTTTTGTATATTGAGCGCCCGACGCTTTTATCACAATAATACTAGTATTTTTCGTTCATTATTGTTTTAAGCTTATTTTAAAAATTATTTTTAACTTTTTAGTTTCATGTTATGATAGTAGTTACTATCAATATCGTGGTTGTAATGGGTAACGGGAAATCAGGGTTCGATTCCGGGGAGGGAGTCTAAGAAACGGCTACCACATCCAAGGAAAGCAGCAGGCGCGTAAATTACCCACTCCCGGAACATGGTGGTAGTGACGAAAAATGACGATACGGGAATCATCCTTTGTAATCGGAATGAATACACTCTATATCTCTTAATGAGAATAAAGCGTGTTAATATATATTTTTAATAGTTATTAGAATATACATGTAAAGCGACTTAAGTACGTAAACGTATCATTCACGAGGTATAGCCGTGTTTTGTGAGCGGGGGGAACGTTATACCTAAGGTATAAACGGCGGCAGCGGCGGTAGGAATATATAAATATATGTACGTAAGGCGCATTAGACGCGGGCGGTATTGGTCAGTCAAAATAAAAATGTGTTTATATATATATATATATGGTATATAATTGATGACAGGCACGCGTGTACGGGTACGAAAACCAAAAATTTAAAATTATACAGGATTAGTGTTGCCGGCGATTGGTGAGCGGGGTGGGGAGAATGCGTTACGACGTCTAGTCTAGACCAGAGTTTCTCAAAGTGTGGTCCGCGGACCCCCAAGGGTCCGCGAGCACATATCAGGTTTAGGTCTTTAAAACTGTAGGTCTTTAGATGGGGGTCCGTGATTCATTTGACTTTGAGAACCTCTGGTCTAGACGATGGAATACGCGAGAATAATAACGCGTGCCGCATGGAAAGTTACAAACACACATCACTCATCACACAACACACATACAAGTGAAACTAATATAAGCGAGTTATAAAAATTAACATTTCAAATACTCCCAATCAATTCTAATCTATATTTATATTTATTTCGTTTTTCTTTTTGGTTTATTACAAGTGGCGCTCAACTAGTAGCTTTGAAACCCCTGAGATAATATTTTTATCACGATTTTATTAATGGTGTATACTTTATTCTTATTTAATAAAAAAATTGTAACATTTGTACATTTAAACTTTTTATATTCCCGACATACTGAAATTTTAAAAACACGTCATAGAAAACTAATACCTTCTCAGCTTCGCATCAAAACTAAAAAAGAAATTGGTTATCACTTTTCCGTGATTCTAAGAATTAGAAGAATATTTTATGTAAATAAATAAAGATTAGGGAAAGAAATTTTATATTAGTTGACAGTTATTATTGTGATTTTATATCTTTTATACTCCCTAAATAAACCTTTTTCATGTGTACAATTTTAGGGTGGCTCAAAAAAAATCGATCTTCAAAATGTTTATGAGATACCTCATAAATATATTATATACATTAAAATAATCATTTTATGAAAATTTGAGATTAAAAAAAAAATTTTTACAGGTCGCTCAACGCNGTTCGTTGAACTTAACCATATTTTTGAGCTTTTTATGGACTTTACGCAATCAATTTTGGACTTACAATTTTTTTTTCTAATTATTATTATTCGGCATTAAAAAACGAACAATTTAGATGTACTAAGTAAGAAATTTGAACAAAAATTGAATAAATAATGACATTTTATGTTTTTTTGAGTATTTTTGGTCAATTTTCTTAAAACGCGTTGAGCGACCTGTAAAAATTTTTTTTTTAATCTCAAATTTTCATAAAATGTTTATTTTAATGTATATAATACATTTATGAGGTATCTCATAAACATTTCGAAGATCGATTTTTTTTGAGCCACCCTAGTGTACATATTCTAATTAGGCATCCAAGGGTGACCGAAAATAAGGAGTAGTATTAAAGTAAATTATATACAGAGTGATTTTTTTATCATAACCCACTCAATTACAGAGAAACAATAAATTAAATTTTTTTTTTTTGGTTTTCTTTAGTTACACATTATTCTTAAATTATTAACCATTTAAAACTTTTTATGTTTATCGATTATGCCTTAAAAGGGTGTCAACTTTGNCTGGAAAACTAAATAGTGCATGTATTTTAATCGAAAAAAATTTTTTTTTAAATGGGAACACATATTTTGAATATATCTTAAAATGTTTGGATTTTTAATTCAATAGTCAATGGCATTTGAATTTTTAATACAACTTTATTAGTTTATTAGATATAAACATTTAAAGTTTCAAATTTTTGAGTTAATATACATGTATAATACACAAGGGATTATAAATACAGATAGCTAATTAGATTTTTATGACATTGCAGTCACAGTCACGGATTTTTTATTATCAATTATGACTGTCATAGATATACTTTCTGTGTTGTCAGTTAGTGATTTATAAACTCACATACACCGATAGTTTTTGTATATAAACAAAGCCAAAATTTATGGATGGTCAATTTTAAAGTTTTAAAAATGTGTGAAAGTCAAATTAAACTTAGAAATAAGTATAAATTAATATGACAAAGATAAACACAAAGAATATAATGTTTTGACATAATTTCATTTTAAAGAAATAATACAAGACTGCACCTTATCAAAGGTTAAAATTCAGCAATACATAAAACTATACAAAGTATATTTTTTTAAAATTTACTATTTTAAGTGCATAAGATAGAACTTTATTTTATTTATAAAAAATAGAGTATCACATACATAAAACTTGAATCATTCTTAACAAATCATACATTTTTATTTAAAAAAAAAATAGAATATAAAATTTTAGATACATTAATAAGTCTTTAATACAAATTTTTCCTACAATTTTGAAAAAATAGGTTTTTTATCTTTTGAAGCAACAGCCATTGAAGCTTTAATAAAATCTTCACTCTGAAGTAAAGTTTGATTCCAATCAGCCTAAATAAAATAAAACAATCAATATAAATTTAATTACTTTAATCTTCGTTTTTTGTTAGTTATATTTTTAATGAGTAAACTTTTGAAGCCTACACAGTATATTAATATTAATTAACTTTATAATAAAATATATTTAAAATATTAAAAACTATGCCACGAGTATAATACATTTCGAACTTATTGTCACAATCAGGTTATACATTAATCATAAAAAGAGGGCACTCTTAATGGAAGTTTCTTTAACTTCTCTCAATTGACCAAGTAGACTTTTATTTTATCTTATATTTAGTTATTTGAACTTCCTCTAATAAAATGAATTTCCTATATCTTTGATGCTTTTAATTTTTATGTATACTTACAATATGATCTAATCCTTCTTGAACTGTATGATCTCTTGAATAAACAATGCTACGTTTAGTCATTTGAATACCAACTGGACTCTTACTTGCAATATCATTGGCAATATCATTTACACTTTTTAGCATACTGCAAAACATTTTTTCATTAAAATAGTATTTAAATAAATAATTAAATTTAACAGTTAATTAAAAAACATTAAAAAAAAAAAGTTTGTATTTGCTACATGCAATAGTCATATTAGTGGTGAGTTTATTGATAATTTTAGGATAAAATAGAAATAAAAAAAGAAATGTATGAACAAGTAGGTAGAGTAGTAACATTAAAATTAATCGGTGACACTAGTTACACATGATAGTCAATTTTATTAGAGAGGAGATTAAGTTATAAGGAATGATTTAGTTTATGTCTCAGATAGAACAGAGTAATGAAGTTTAGAGCTTTAAGAACAGTGGGATAGTTAATAACTATTAGTTATGTGGAGGGCATACAATAAGAATTTATAACTAGCAAAATGAAGAAATTAACGTAAGACAAACTTAGTCATAGGGTTAATGTAGACGAAAACTACATTCATTTGTTAGTATGTGGTTATGAGAAGGACATATATAGTTAAGCACAAAAGTTTCAAATAGTTTGAAGATATGAGGAAGCTTAATTATAAGACGATAATTTTTAACAATCATAGGATGACCAGTTATTAGAATGGAAAAAAATATGCAATATTTACTATAATGGAGAAAGTACCTTGATTTTAGGTAATTACTAAAAAAGGTAGTTCATGATCCAGTAATTAAGTTTTTTAATTTCTACAAATAACCACNTTTTATATATATTGTTTTAAGAGAGGAAGTGTTGTGTTGTATTATGTGGCAACACTGTTTTGTTTGTTATAACCTAACCAATTTGATTACACATTATGTCATATAATTAATATGTTATGTTTTATTGTAATATTAAAAAGTGTTAAGTGCAATAAAGAGATACATAACACCACCATGAATACCATCAGGTCTAAGAGACTTTATATTCTTGTGAGACTCGAGAACTCACATCATCATTAGATATATTTACATTAGAAGAAATATTAAATGGGTGTACACAATATATATATACAGTGGACCCCCGGTAATCCGACAAAAGTTTTGTCGAACTATCGAATTTGTCGGATTATAGAGTATTCCCAAAGACCTCCTATAGTCCGGAACTTTTAACAAAAGAGTACCTTGTAATCCGAAAAATCACAAATCCAAAGATAAGATTTGGTCTTGACAGGCCCTGGTGTGAAGTATAAATCATGCTTCATTATGTATGTCGACTTAAGTAAATTAAACAACACAATAGAAAGCTTATGTTTTATTATAAAATTCACGTCATTAATGCTAGAGAATTTACAAAAAACAATAACTTTACATTAAGGAATACAATTACAATGTAATTGTGTTTAAACAAATGTACATACTAAAATAGTAAAAAATTATGAATAAAAATCATGATATGAATTTATGAAGCATGAAAATATTTATCAATTTTTTTTCGTTTAACATTATTGAAACGCGAGACCAATGCTCTGTCCCTCAGTCTTCTTAAAAGTAAAAGTTCGTTGTAGGATACACCATTCTCCTCAGCCCATTGCAAATCCAGTTTAAAGGCGTTAGCTGCATCTTGTGCTATCACTTGTGGAGTAGTTGCAATTACGTCGTCGTCATCTTCCTGATTTATGGTTGTATTACTAGATATCTCTTTTATAATCTCATCGTCAGACATTTCATAAAAAATATTATCCTCCTTATCCATTCCATGGTACCAGATTTCCTAATCTTGCGATCTTATCTATGTTTCACAACACAGCAACTTTCTCTATTACTTCCGAAGTTACACTGATTTGTGGATCGTTGCTAGGACTGGTGACTATATCCGACCATAACTTTTTCCAAGACGATGTAATAGTTGACGAAGGTAATGCATTCCACGATTGACAAAGAGCAAAAACCAAGTCTTTCATATTGAATTCTTTTAAAGTTTTTTCTATTGGCTGATCTTTTGATACAGCTCTCAGAAGTAGATTTTTCTTATAATCTTGCTTGACAACCTGAATGGTATGCTGATCCATTGGTTGAATCAGTGCAGTGCAGTTTGGTGGAAGAAACATCGCAGTGATGCATTTATCCTCAGTTGTCACTTCTTCTTCAGATGGATGACTGGGAGCGTTATCAATAAGCAATAACGCTTTTTGAGGAAAATTATGATTTTTCAACCATTTATTAATTTCTGGTACATAGCATTCATCAAACCACTTCTTGAATAGGTCTTTTGTCATCCACACACTTTTATGACCATAATAATGTACACGCAAATGAATGTTTTTGAATGCACGTGGATTTTTCGATTTTCCAACGACCACCATTTTTAGCGCGTGTGTACCCGCAGCATTTGCACATGGTAGTATGGTTACACGCTCTTTACTTACTTTCGCCCAGGTACGGATTTTTCGTTATAGGAAACGAAAGTTTTGTTTTGTATCACACGCCAAAAAAGTCCTGATTCGTCTGCATTACATACACATGTGATGGGTTAAGATTTAAATCTTTCACCTTTTGCAAAAATCTTAATTAAATGGCTCTATGCAGGTAGCATCATTAGAAAGTTTCTCTCCTGTTATAATCATTAAATGTATGACATGACGACTTTTGAAACGTTCTAACCATCTCTTGCTAGCCACAAAATCATCTTTTTTTATAATTTCCTTATAAAAAAAACTTAGCTTTCATGGCCAACATGGGTCCCAAAATCNATTTCCTTATAAAAAAACTTAGCTTTCATGGCCAACATGGGTCCCGAAATTGGTGCATGCCTATTTCTTTCCTAAAGAAACCACATGTACAAAGTTTCTTCCACTTCTGGATATTCAGCTTTCTTGAGTGTCTGTCTCTTGTCTGGCCCACAGTCAGTAGTTGGTACGAATTTTTTAATCTTCTTATTTTTTTTTTTAATATCATAAATTGTAGATCGGCCTACGCTGTATTCACTTGTTAAACTACTAAAAGATTCATTACGATTTAAACGATCTAAAATATCACATTTTTCATTAATTGTCAGTGTATTGTGCTTTCGCTTCTAGGCTTGTGACGACATAATTTACTAGGTACGTATACGTAATATATAATGAATAAACAGTAAACAAAGAATCTATACTTTGAGTACAATAGTGATGGCACAATTGTAATCTGTTCAATCATGCATTATCTACACTAACGAAGATTGTAAAAAAAATACCCAATAATAATAGACATGTCGGATTATAAGGGGCGCCGGATTAACCAGGGGCCGGATTACCGGGGGTCCACTGTACTAGTTATTAATATTTTATTATATTATATTGTAATAAAATAAAAAATTTATTAAAGAATATTTTATACTAATATTTTTGTATAATACCTTTCTTTTGCATCAAAAATTTCATTTACAAAACCAATTGATTTCGCTTCTGGAGCACCAAATTTACGAGCAGTGAATGCTAATTCATTAAACAAGCTCATACTCCTGACAATTTTAGGCATTCTTTGAAGTGTACCGACATCAGCAGCCATTCCTANCAATTTTAGGCATTCTTTGAAGTGTACCGACATCAGCAGCCATTCCTATGCAATACCAGTATAATATAAAAATAATTTTCTCATATAAAGATATCTGATTAATTGATTTGAACTCTAGCAGAGAAAAAATGTTTTTTTGTTATAGTATTTTGTGCTATACACAGAAAACAGTTATGTGGTTTACGATAATGACTCATTTAACATATTAAAGTATAACATACATACCATGAGTTCTAGTTAAAGACAACAAAATAGTATATAGTGAGTGATTCACTTATTATAATATTTATTTAATAAATAATGATCTAATTTAAAAAAATGACTAGTTGATAATAACTTTTGGACCAGTATTTTAGAAGTTGACATATTTATATCTATGTGAAAGTAAGAGTATGGCTGGGAAATGTTTAATTTTAAAAATGACAGCATCCACTCTTAACCACCAATCATTACTTTAAATTGTTAATAACTTTTGAAATACTAGTTCAAAAGTTGCTTTTATAGAAGATTGTATTCATTAAATAACAATTAGTACTCTAAAAAAATAAGGTGAATTAATAAATAATAAATACATTCCAACAAGGTTCTTTAGAGTTCATATCAATAATAATAATAATAATAAAAAAAAAATACCAACCAATTTCTGTTTCTTTGAGTTGAAACCAAGCATCATTTGTACAATATCGCATATCTGTAGCACATATTAAGTCCACACCTCCACCAATACAACCACCATGTACAGCAGCAATTACAGGTTTCACACACTAAAAACAAAACTATAGTGATGGATGAAATTACTAGAGAAATACAAGGAGAGGTGCCGTGGTGCATGTTGTTCACTGACAATATAGTGTTAATAGGAGAAATTAATCAAAGGCTAAAGTATGGATATCAGCTCTTGAAGGAAAGGGTTTAAGAATAAGTAGAAGTAAAACAGACTATATATAGTACGAGTTTGACAAAGGAGAACACGAAATATGTGAAATGAGGAGATCAGTGACAATAGGCGAAGACGTGATTGGAGAGGTGGAAAGTTTTAAGTATATAGGGTCAGTTGTGCAAAAGAGCGGTGGTATTGACGAGGATGTAAGACATAGGATTAAGTGCGGGTGGTAGAAGTGGAGAGAAGCGTCTGGCGTCTTATACGATAAAAGAATTCCAATTAGGCTGAAAGGTAAATTCTACAAGACTGTAATAAGGTCAGCTATGATGTATGGTTCAGAGCGTTGGGTGGTTGATAAGAAAGTAGAGCAGAGAATGAGTGTAGCAGAGATGAGAATGCTTAGTTGGATGAGTGGAGTAACTGGAGAAGATAGAATAAAGAACGAGCATATAGGAGGAATATAGGTGTAGTGTCAATCGTAGATAAGATGAGAGAAAATAGACTTAGATGGTTTGGTCATGTTATGAGATGAGAGGAATTGGAAGCTATAAGAACAGTTATAGAAATGAATGTTGAAGGAAAAAGAGCTGGAGGAAGACCAAAAAAGAGATGGAGGGATGTAATTGAATGCGATATGAGGATGGCTGATGTGAGCGTAGATGATGTGTGTGATCGTGTCAAGTGGAAATTTAGGATAAGGGTGGCCAACCCCAAGTAGTTGTTATTAAGGCGAGGAGGAGGAAGAAGAAGATTTAGAAATACTCTCATTTCATATTTTAGAGTGAAGTGAGATAATTGTAAATGCATTTTTTTAGATAATAGTGCAAATATTTCTTCGAACATACATTTTATATAAAGAAACACTTACAAGATCCAGAACTTATCAATTTAAAATAAAATCTGCTAAATATTCTAAGAAAAAAAAGTAGTTTTCAATTAACTCAATCATTTACATTTATTCTACTTTACTCTATACAACCTAAAGATAAAAAAAATTATTTAATATATTAATGAAATTTATTTCATAAAAAAGTAAGAAATTTATTTATTTTAAAGTTAATAAAAAAGTACAATATTTATCCGACAAATTGGAGTTGAAGCAGTTTTTAGATCATATTGATTGATATCATTAATTAAAATCACTATCATAAAACCCTTTAATGTATTTTTGAAACAAATTTAAAAAAATGTCATTTATCAAAAATTATATAATTTTTCCTTAAAAGACTTTTAAACATATATTAGATAAAAAAAATTTTAGTTTAAAATAATTGCATAAAATCATAATGTGAGTATTTCGTTACAATATACAACTATAAAATTGGCAATTTTTAACAAAAATTGCATGATTATCGGCTTTAATGTTCAATTACTCTTAGAATTCAAGATTTCAGATAGTTATATGTTTTTTATCTTAATATATATATTAGCATTTATTTAATGTAGGTATAATGACAAGTATTTTTCAATATTATTAAAAAAGAAAAACATGTTTATATAATTTTTAAGTTTCCACAGAACTTTGATTAATGATTGGATTTAAAAAAACAGTATGAATTTAGAATGACATATAAGAAGTATTATCAATAAAATATTTTTAATATTCTGACGAATTTTCAAGAAGATATTGCAATATAAAATGAAATTTAAAAATAACAAAATATACAGTTATATAACTGTAATTTTTTGAGTCCTTTTTTTTTATTATCCAAGGATTTTACAAAATTATGGAGCTAATAGCTTTAACTGGATATGTTTTGTGGTCTTTTTGTGTATTGCTAAATAAAATTGTATCAGACATACACGGAAAAAAAAGCACAATATAGTTAAACTAAAACGCATTAAAATTAAAAAGTCAAATGTTTCAATTTGCCCCTATGGTAGGGTAAAATAGGACAGTACATATTATTATACTAGTATAGATTATTTTAGTGGATACATAATTTTAAATTTCAAAAAAATTATTACCCTTATATATATATATGAAAAAACAAATTAATTTCAATAATTTATTTGTATACAATCCTGTTGGATATATTATAACAATGGTTATATTATTTTATTATAATTTATAAACTATAATTAATAAAATTGTTTATTATTATTCAGTTTGCTGTGTATTGAGAAAATGATCTAACCCATTTTCCTCTATTTCCTTTAGCTGCATACTACCCTATCTGCCTAAACAAAAGTGTATCTGCATGTAAATCACAAATGCTTGATGGATCTGTGACAAGGTTTTAAAATATAACACTTGAAAGTGTGGGTTTTATACTTGTCATATTTTTCACATGATTTACAATATACTTTCAAAGATCAGCCATTATTTCTCAGTGAAATCATTAAAACTTACAAGTTTGAACTATATAATGTTGTAAATAATATTATTTTGTAATAGCCATAAATTGATAGCAAAAAAAACAATTTTTATATATGTGTATACTTACTTTTTCTAAAGCAGTAATACAATTTTGGTAATTCATAATGAATTTCCTTACAACTTGTGATTTTCTAGCAATGTCTTCATGATTCATAACTTCTTGCCCAAGATTCATGATATCATATAAATCAATACCTATAATATGATTATTCCTCATTAATTATTCTGAGAATCTTTGTCATTTATTCTTAATAAGTAGAAACAATATTAATTTTATAATTAATAATATAATACCTGGTTTATAGAAAAGGTAGAAATAAATATAAATAATTATAGGTCCACATAGTGGGATATCCCAAAACCAATTTTTTTTAATATGTATACATTTAAAAAGAAACAAACATTTTTAAAAGTATAAAATTACTTTGACAATAATCATATATGTATAGAAATTAACACATTTTAACCCAACCAACTTATTATGAAAACTAGGTAATTAGCCATATTTAAACCTTTGCAAGTGCAAAATGTTGTATAAATATTCAAATTAAAGTTCACTTCAACAAAAAAATATATAATTTAAAGTTTCAGAATTTTACTTTTTTATAATAAAAATCAAATAAATACCTGAAGTAAAAAATTTTCCATTTCCAGATAAAATTATTACACGGCAATCTGGATTATCATTAAGCTCATTAAAACATTTTCCAATTTCACTGTAAAAAATAAATGTTTACAGTTAAGAAACATAAATAATCTAGTAAAATAATATAGTACTTCAATATACTAAAATTACAAAATAATTATTTTGTAAAATATTCAATAAAAAATGTTTTGCAAATCAATGATATAATTTTTACAATGATCAACCATAAATTTTATCGCTAACTAAATCTATAGCTCATACAGGAATTTTGTTTGATGGTCCAGATAACTATGAGTAGTAGAGAGATTTACCCTTCCAATACTCTCTCTGTTGTAATTTATGTCTATAGAGTCTGGACCCATGGACTTAATATAAAGTTATAATAACAAAATGTATTTCAGTATATATGTATGTATCTCAGAGAAATTTAATTTATAGTTTATTTCTGAACCGAATTACTATAACTATGGTAATGAACTTTTGTGTTTAAATTTATTATTTAATATATAAATTAGAAATATGTACTTACATCCACATGGGCGTGTTCATAGCATTAGATTTCTCAGGCCTATTTAATTGTACACTGTAAATAAAGTCATTCGTGTTTTCAATTTTTAAAGTATGATAGTTAGATGTAGTAAACTTTGACATATCTATATAATTAGAATAAAATATATTAATTTATGCAGATGTAAAAGAATATTAGCAATTGAACTTTTAAAAGAATAATAAAAAAAAAAATTTAAGTGTTGTAATACCTTCCTAAATTTCCATTTGATACGATCTCCCACATCAGCCGTCCTCATATCGCATTCAATTACATCCCTCCATCTCTTTTTTGGTCTTTCTCCAGCTCTTTTTCCTTCAACATTCATTTCTATAACTGTTCTTACAGCTTCCGATTGCTCTCACCTAATAACATAACTAGTCTATAGATATCGATGTCTCATTTCTTATTCTTTTATCTATTACCTTGTATTTAATTTCATACTATGACTCATAAGCTTTATGCTTCTATTATTTCCGCACTCCTGTATGTCTCCTTTACCTTTAAATATTGCACCGCAATACTATTCCTGCATTCATTTGGGATTTTCCCATTAAATAAGATTTTATTTAAAAGAACTTTCAACCACCTAATATTTTCCATACTTCTACAGGCACTTCATCTGGTCCTACTGCTTTATTCTTTTAAAGAAGGTACAACATATTCTCTATTATATTAATGTACCTTTTTGGGACTCCTCTTCTCATTAATGCCCATTTAGTACCTCTATCATACGCTTTTCCAAATCTATAAATGCCATACACAGTTTTTTCTTCTTTTCCTATACCTATTACCTTTCTATTAGTTTTCTTACTAATGTAATAGTAATGTACTAATGTACAAAAGTACTAATATACTTAGTTGAAATATAAATTCAAAAAAGCATAATTTCTAGTGGAGTAATTACACTCTGCTTATTAAAATAGTTGATATTATTTATTGTACATATCAATTCTTTCATCACCTCCAACAAAAACAATCTTAACTAACATATTTATAATTTTAGTAACTACTTGAAATTTTAAGCATGTATTATATTCATATATTGTTTTTTATATTAATAATTTAAATTTTACGTTTAAAGGTTTTAAACTTGACAATTAATTTTTTATGGTAACATTATTTGTTGTACTTAAAAAAAAAAATTTTTCCTGGGAAGAGGCAGAAATTTCACTTGATTGTTTTTTCTAATAATTTTTCATGTGAAAGATGAAGTAACTTAAGATACAGACTGTTTCGCCAGATATGTAATTTTAGAAATTTATAGTTAGTAAACACCTAAAATTATTTACTTAAGAATTACCTAATTATACAATTTCTAACCACAATAATAACAAAATCATACTTTCGTTTTGATGGAATTTCGAAATAAGTATACTCAAAATATACAATAATCATATTTTTCATATAAAATGAAAAATATGTAGTGAGAGATAATGATTTTATTAATATATTAATAAACATATTGAGACACCAGTAATTTTAGTAGTTGAGAAAAATGATTATCTTACAGTAAATGTATGTAGACAATCACCTTAGTATAAATAGAAAATTAATGTATAAATCAATTGATCTAATAAACAATGTTTATGAGATCTATGTATAAATCTTACTTCGGATATATAAAACTTTTCTGAACAAATTAGGCCTCATGAAAATCATAATATAGTAATTAATATATTTCTACTTAAATAATATACACCAAAGATAAATAAAAATTTATTGATTATTATAATATTAATTGATTATAATTTTTGATAAGTTTCAACTATTTAACTAATTTTTTTTTATTAAATTGATAAGCGAATAACCTTTATCAATGTTTGTTTATTTTTTGACAGTAATTAAATTAGGTAAATTCCATGAATTTCCCTCTCTATCTTAGTTTGATCTATGATCATAATGGCGAACCCTGAGAAAGTGTATGGTGCGTACGCGCCCTTTTTGAACTATTTTAGCTTCGATGCGAAGCTGAGAAGGTATTAATTTTACTATGATGTGTTTTTTTTTTATTTTTTTTTTTTTTT